GCAAATGCTCGGCGGACAAGCGGTGCAAACTTCTGGCACAGAGCCAATACCTTCATCCAATGCGACGCCACCGCCGAGAGCGTCGGCGCTCGTCCGGCGACGCCCTTGCTGGCAGCGACAGGAGCCAGCGCTCGTACGAGCGCTTGTTGAACTGCTCCAGCTTCTGGCCCGCGCCGACGGTCTCGTCCATCGAGATGTCGATGCAGGCGCGTCGTACACCACGTAAACGTTCCTACCAGGAAAAACATAAGATTGTGCGAATTGGAGCCATGGCGTTGGCATCAATGTCCTTAAATCATCGGCTATTGTGTAACAAACAACGTTTGAGCATGGACTTCAAAACTCGTATTGGTTTTAGCAACCCCATTGCTAATAGGGTTTGAACCCGCGTCACAGCACTCATACGGTAATGATGAGTAGCGACTCGTATCTCGTAAATGTTTGTTTCCACTCTATCTACCGCAGAGCTGCCACGACGTGTGCACCACGCCTTCTACCAACGCACGCGACTAACTGCTTCCAAAAACGACGCAAAAATGCAACAAAAAACATTCAGAAAATAAATTAGACGTGGTCCGAGGCCGACCCATCGGTGCTCTCTGGAAAGTTTACGCTGCTCGCATGCGTCGGGTTGAGCGCGGCGACGCAGTGAGCGACGACCAAGTCGCCGTAGACGTTGACCATGGTGCGAATGCGGTCAACGCAAAAGTCCATCGCCAAGAGGTACGAAAACGACGCAGCCGCGCTGTCGCCGCCGACCGTGACGACCATCGGGAGTACCATGACAAGGGCGCCGCTCGGGACGGGCGCCGTCGCCGCCGCCGACACGAGGCTCAGAATACAGAGGACCAAGTACGTCACGGGCGAGAGGTGCCCACCTGACGAGACGACAACGTAGACGACAGCACACGGAAAGTACAGCGCCGTGCCGTTCATGTGCAGCGTCGCGCCCAAGGTTACAACGAAACCGGCGATCGACGGCGATGCACCGGTCGCCGTGGCGGTCTGCAGTGTGATGGGAATCGTCGCCGCCGACGACGCGCAGCCAAACGCAAACATCTGCGCTGGTACAAACGCCTTGAGCATCGGCAGTAGCGGTCGCTTCAAGCGACGACACACGACCACGTACAAGAGAAGACTGAGCGCGCCGACTTGAGCGAGCGCCTATGCATGTTGGCCTCAGTATCCATGATAGCGATAGAGACGGCATACCGCGAGCAGAAAGGCCACGAGGAAGAGACCGACGTTGCCAAAGACGGCGGAGAAATCGTTGGTCATCCCGAGGCCGCCGGCGATGAGCGACGCGACCGCATACGGCGTGCACGTGATCACCGCTTCGATGCCGGCAAGCAAGACCGCGTTGATGTCTTCGCAGAGCGCGACGAGCGTCGGGCAGTCGCGCTCCGACCGCTGCATGGCCAGCGCGAGAAAGATCGCAAACGCCAAGATGCCGAGGTAGTTGCCGCTCACGAATTGGAGCACAATGTTGTCGGGCACCATGGCCTTGAAGATCTGGTCTTGGATCGTCTGCGTAAGAGAGACCGCGGCCGGCGCCGTGGCGTTGACGAGGTGCAAGAGCGACGAGCTATTCGCTGTCGCTGCGCACACAACTGCGCCGTTGAGCGCCACGACGAGGTGGCGGGTGTCGCCGCAGCCCAGCTGCACGTCGGTCGAAGTCTTCGCCGCCATCTCCGCTGACGACGACGCGACAGCAAAGTGCGACTGCAGCAAGAGCACGGCAAGCGTCCCGAACCCGACCGCGACGACCGTGGTCCCAACAAAGAGCCCGATCGCGTGGAGACCGGCGGACGAGACACCGCGCATCTCGACGACCGAGAGGAAGATGTTGACAAAGACCAACGGGACCACAATGCACGTGAGCGCGCGAAGGAAGAGCGTGCCGGGCAGCGCGACCCACGAGACAAGTGCCGGCGATGCGTCGTTGCGGCCGAGGACGATGCCGAGGCCAAAGCCGAAGACGACGCCGGCAACGATGCGCGCCGAGGGCTGCTGGTACCATGGCGCTGCCGCAGTGGTCGGCGGCGTCGGCGTCATCGGCCGGAACGGGTGGTCCTTTGGCGACGCCGCCGCCGAGAGCTCGATCGAGGCCATCGCGTATACAAGGTCAAGTGCCAAAGCACTGGAGCGACCAGCCAAACGTCATGTCGCAGAAAATGACGCAACGGGATTGGTGGATCTATAAAGGCCATCCTGCAGCAGTTGGCACCGCAGCGCCAGGCCGCTGTGGCATTGGGTGGTATCAATAGCGCGCTCAAGATGGCTGCCATGCAGCTCTTGATGGGCTAGCGATGGCCATGGACGCGTGGTGTCAAGGTTGCATGCAGAGGCTGGATGGCAGCGGCGCCGTCCTATCTGCGACGAGACGCGTGATGCTAGGAGGGCATGGGATTCTTGAAGGTATGAGCGGATCAAATTGAACTTGTGCCATCCGTGAGCCTCTGTGGTGTGGATGTGTGGGGTGCACCTTTGTGGCGAGTGGTCGTTGCGACTTGTACCAACTTGCCCCGTCATCCAATGTCGTTCGTTCCTTGTAGTTCATCCCCGTTGGTCCGTTGTCGGCGCGGGTGGCAGTGCTGCGACGAACCCCGCAAAGAAATGTGTGTTCTGAGCGCGAGCTGTTGACGCTACAGCCAAACGTTTGGCCTCTCTTGTCATCGCCCACGGCCATGCGATGTCGTGACGTTAGCAGTCAGCAGCAACCATATACCAAAAGCTGCCAGCAACTCTTGTGGCGCATCCCTACCGCCCCTTCGAGGCGGTGATATCCTGCATATCCATCGAGTTGAACGCCCGGCCACGCTTCGTCGTTGAATCAGCCATCAACGTCTGAGTCTGGTGCGATGGGTTTGGGCGGCGGCAGAACAACCACGCGATAGACATGTTGTCGACTCTGGTCGACTTTTGTTTGAAATACTAGTGTTGTCATGTAAACGCATGCAAACTAACGCTCCTATGACATCATCTCTCGTATCTTTCGACGTCCAATTTACCACCCGGCTTGTCTCGGGTCTACTCTTTGTGAGAACGTCGTGCTATAAAAATGCGTCGGGTCAAGGTGCAACGCTCTGAGGTGCAATGGGCTCCTTTCATTGCGCGAGACAAGTCGTCGTCTTTCCGTCGCACTGGCCATGGCGACTAGATTCCGGCGAATGAAAGCTAGTAGATCGTAGTCACCCAATACGTTGGGAAAACACAGTTCGCAAAGTTGGCGTCGTGCTGTCCATTGGCCTCGTGAACAGGACACTCGAGCTTGCCAACGTCGCAGTGCATGACCCAAGTGACGGGCGTAGTGCGTCGTGATTCTCGACAGCTCTCAAAGTACCGAGGTTGGCTTCCAACACGTACGGTACCAGTTGCAGCTCCAACCACGCCACGGTACTCCAACAGCCCATCATGACCAGACAGAGGATGTACGGCGGCGCACGGACTTCAAGCAGTGCCAGGTGTCTATCAGAGGGTGTGTAGTAGTACTGCGATGCTGTTTCTGAAGATAGGCACCATCGCACAAGCAGTGGTGCTGAGGTGGTGCTGGCTATCGCTGATGGAGGAGTAATACGCCATTCCATTGTTCGCCCTTGATCGCGCAGCGCTCGTGGATTGGCAAGCGGCTGTATGAAGGTGCGGTTCTCGGTCCTCGGTGGACCTGAGTGGCGACACTTGAGAGTGGCAGGAGACAGTCCACTTGATTGTCGTGATGGCGGTGGTCGATAGCTGGGACCGTTGAATTTGTCGGGCTCGAAGCATGCAAATTTGTGTGCTGCCGCGCCACGCCCCGTAATGGGAGGTTTCCACAGCTGTTCTTGCGAGTTACAGCTGGTGTTGGTAGCCATTGGCCTTGGTCCATGCTGCTCCTCTCTTCCGTAAACAGGACACAGTCACATTTACCGCGCACAAGAGAGGCAACATGTCCAAGCGGGCACAGCACTACCCGCTGCCCAACAACTACTTTCACTGCCACGAGCTCTCGCCAGCGCACCTCGAGACGTTTGTGCGTCTCGGCAAGAAGGCGCTGCGTGGCTTCCTCGACAAAACGCTCTACCCTGAGCCCGACTTGAGCTGGAACTATGACAGCGAGTCGGACGGCGTCAAGCTATTCGAGGGCTCGATTGCGAGCAAAGGGCTCACGCTGAACAAAAACACGATCCCGTACCGGGCGCTCGGCAAGGTCTCGGGCACGATCGAAGAGGTCGCAGCGCTTCACGACTTTGGTTCGCGCGACCAGTGCCTTCAGTACATCAAGCACGTGTCGCCTGACGTTGTTGACATGGTTCAGCTCTACTCGCTTTTGCAGCCGTCGCTGACGCGGCCGCATCGCCGGATGTACATCAAATGGAGCGCCGCGCGCAGCCCGATGCCCATGATCAAGGACCGCGATTTCGTCTACCTCGAGGTGAGTTTGCACTTTCTAGATTCTCGCCTTTCTCACTTTGCCGTTGCATAGTCTCAAGATGAATTTGTGTTTGCGAGCGGCCGGCGTGGCTGGGGCTTTTGCCAGCTCTCGGTCGACGTGCCCGCTGCGCCGTGCTTGCGCGAGACCGCACTCGGCCTCATGCGCGGTACACTGTACCACACAGGCATGGTCTTCCTCGAGACCGAGACGCCGGGCATCCTCGACGTCATCTACCACATTGCAACCGACCTAAGGGGCTCGATTCCCCACTGGGTGCGTCGCATGGGCATCAAGCGCCGCGCCCAGCAGATCGCGCATTTGCAGGAACATCTCCACAACATGCGCGTCACGGCGCGCCCTGTCAAGGCCTACTCGCTCGGCGCTGGACGCCGCGCCACCAAGTGCGTCCACTGCGGCGCGTGCGTCCGGTTCCGCGTCGGCACCAACTGCAAGAGCTGCACCGAGGTACGAGCCGCTTTTTTGATTCTCGAACCTCACGCCTGTCTTGCGAACGGTAGCCAGTGTGTTCCAAGTGCAGTACGAACTGGAAGGTGCAGAAGGATGGTGTCGACGTCCACGTTCGTGTCTGCACCCAGTGCGCGTCGTCGGCCCAAGACGCGGCGCTCTGGGAGACCAACTCGAGCGTCCACTTGTCGGCCACGCTGAGCGGCAGTCGCAGCGGCAGCTCCCGCGTCGAGGACCGCGTCGATACACTTCAAATGTTTTACGAAAGCGTCACGCCGGGCCGCGAACGGTTTCTTTCGATTGACGACGGGCTCCTCACCATGAGCAAGCCGCTTGTGTCGCCGCGGGAGTCGACAACGGCGACCGCCATGGACCTCTCGTACCTCGACATGTACGGCGACCACGCCGACCTCGAGGCGAGCGTTGCGACCGATAGCACCGGTTACGACGACGACGATGTGACCAAGTCGACGATTCTTAGCACGACCGATGGCACCGAGATGGCACGGTTTCTCGACCGGCTCACACTCACCCGGTAGCTATCTCTAATCTTATCAGTAATACTAGTACTAGTCTAGAAAGCATCTTCAGTACGGCAGTTGTGGCACCTGCGCTTGCAGGTGCCACATGATTATAGCGACTGCTATAATCGATAGTGTAAACTTGCCCTACATTTTCTCTCGTATCCGGTACGTCGACTACTCAGTGGTAAGTAGGTGTCGATTTTGCGATGGCCAATACGAATGGATGCAGCTTCAAGTACTGGACGCGGAGCGCGTCGCTGCAACCACGACATCTTGCTCGGTCGACGCATTGAACCAGCCGCAGCGATGGCGCAGCGACAAAAAAGGAATCTCCGAATGTGCACATCCCTCGTCATCAAGCCACGTACGAACACGTGATCGATCCAGGATAGGCAAAGAATCGATCCATTGGATGGCATTCTTTTTGTTGAAGGGTGCCCCCGCGAATGCACGTCCACACCAGAGCGTTCAGACGCGCACCTAATACATGTATTCTGTCGTCGCCGCAGGTCTGCTGGAAGGAACCCGTGCTCGACACTCAGATGCACACCGCTTCGGACAACGACGACGTCTCGCCGGTCATGAGGTCGGAGACGCACTCTGCGCCGACCAAGCAAGGTGTCGGAGAATAGTGTCTTTGCTGACGCGTTGCGTGCAGCCTTGGCCCAAAGCGGAGCTAGCGAGTATGCCTGCGACGCCCTCCCGATGGCTGCAGTGCGCCCTCCCGATGGCTGCAGTGCGAGCGCGCGGCGGTGGAAGAAGCCAACGTGTCAATGGCGTCGAGTGTTCTGGGGTGCATAAATCGAGCGCACGAGCTGCGCGGGTGGGTTTGGGACATAGAAACTGATGCGTTGCAGCGTATCAGGTACGCGATGGGGTCGGATCCCCTTCTTGCGTCGCGGAACTTGCCGTTGGCGACTGAACCGTCAGCCAGGCGGCGGCGTTACGAGCACCCACTGTGGCAACTGGGCGACATGGTTGTACCAAAGGCGTCTCAAAGATATGCATTTGCCGTTTGTGTCGCGTTTGTCCCAAGGTCGGACTGGGTACAACCACTCTCTCTTGGGTTTTAGAAGGCGCCAGCATGTGTGCGCTCACCGATTGGCTTGAAAGAAATAAAAACTGTATTTTTAACAAATCGCATTGCCTAATGAAATGAATTGCCCCATAGAGACACAAGTGAGAAAGCCGGTGATATCGCGCCAGGTTGCACATGGGGCGCGCTGCCCATATCGGTCGAGGCCGGTGCAAAACCACGTTTGGCCATTCGCCTATATGACTCCGATCGGCGCCGTCGGCGACAGCAGCAGCCCCAACATGGAGACGCGCAAGACGTATCCGCTGCCCGACAACTTTTTCCAAATTCCCGAGCTCTCGGATATGGAGAAGGCGCACTACCTCGAGGTCGGCACGACGGCGCTCAAGAGCTTTGTCAACAACGTGCTCGGGCCCGAGAACCCGACGCTCGTGTGGCGGCCATTTGGCGAGTTTCAAGGGGTCAAGATCGTCGAGGCCGACGTGCCTGGCTTCAAGGTCGACAAGAGTACGTCGCTTTCTTTTGCATGCTGGCGCATTTCTGACGCTCAATAGATCTACTGCCGTACCGCATGACGGCCAAGATCCAAGGCACGATCGACGAAGTCGCGATGCTGCATGCGTCCGACTCGCGCCAGCACTGCGCCGAGTACGTCGACCAGTACCGCGGCGACATCCTCGACGTCATTCCGCTCTACAGCCTCATCGAGCGCTCGGACGCCAACCCGTACAAGCAGTGCTACATCAAGTGGAGTGCCCACTTGAGCGCCGTCGTCGTCATTCGCGACCGCGACTACCTCTTCGTCGAGGTAATCATTTTTATTTATCGTGGTTCGAGGCTAAATGTAAATGGGGTTGTAGATGCAAGACCTGGTCGATCTACCGTCCGGGCGCCGGGGCTGGGCCTTTTGCCGCGTCTCGATCGAGCTCATGAACGTGCCAAACCTCGAACGCACGTCGCTCAAGCTCGTGCGCGGCGTCCTGCACCATTACGGTGCAATTTTTATGGAGGCCGCGGGCACGCCCGGGAAGCTCGACGTCATTGCGCAGATGGCCGTCGACTCGAAAGGCTCGATCCCGCAGTGGGTGCGCAAGCTCGGCATGAAGAACAACGTGCGCCAAATCACCCTCGTCGAAGATTACGTGCACAAGCTCCGCATGAGCTCGCGCATCTCGAAAGGGCAGTCGTTCCTCTCGACGTCGGGGTGCTCGGGGTCGGCGTCGACAACGACACCAGCTCCCGGTGCACACAAGCGCTGTGCGCTCTGCCACGCGCCGTCGTCCGCGCTCAAGCGCTACAAGCCATGCGAATCCTGTGGCGACGTACGTCCATTTGTATCAATCTATCGAGCTCGCCATTCATGAGATGTCGGTAGCTGTGCTGTCCGCGCTGCAGCACCTCGTGGAACGTCAACGTCAAGGGCAAACCCCGCGTCCGCGTCTGCGCGGCGTGCGCGAACGACGCCCAGAGCCGCGAAAAGTGGGAGATTCACGACGCGGACGAGACCGCCACCAACAGCTCGTCGCGCGAGACGCTCTTCCTCGATGCGGTGACAAGCCAGCGGTCCTCCGCCTTCTCGTCCCAGCGGGCGAATGGCCCGACGCTCTCGAGCCGTGGGAGCGCACAGGACGTCGCGTCGTCGAGCCGCAGCAGCCAAGAGCCCGAGCCGAGCTGCGAGCCGATCCCAAAGCGCTGCGAGCCGAGCCATGAGCCATTGTCGAGCCGGGGCGGCGACGTGAACCTCGGCGTCGACTTGTCGTACTTGAGCATCTACAATAAAAAGCCGACGACCGAGCGGCGTCCGAGCTTGGCGGCCGCGATGGACTCGGTCGTATACGCGGGCGAGTACGAGTACGACGACAACGACGTGACGTGTTCGACGCTCGACTCGGTGCACGACCCGATCCAAGATTCAAATCTGGAGGCATTTCTGAACCAGATCGGCCACGTGCATGTCGCGGCGCAGCGAGATTCGTTCGCAGACCGCCGGTCGTCCCTCGTGCGGTGAGCGGTTCGTATCGTCGCCTGTCTCCGTCATCGTCTCTCGCCTCAATGTCGTCGTTCTCTGTCTTGGCACCACCAACGCCACCTCCCACACTACTCGCTAGTACTACTCCACTGCCTCACCAAGTGCAATCTCAGATAAGAACTTGCTTCATATTACGAGCGCTGGCATGGACGGGGTTGGGAAGATGTCGCGTGACGCGCCGCCTGTCAACGGTCGAGTCGAGCCTTTGGACGAGGAGTGCATGCAAACTCACTAAGGCGGGAATCCAGGACTGATCAACCACCATAGGAGTTCTCCTCCAACGCACGTCGTATTGAACCGTGTGCATCATCACCCGAAGACGTGCGACGAGTCTGCCGGGGCATGGCGATGCTAAACCTGGGTACAAACGGCAGGCGGCCATGGGTGCTGCCATGTAAGACTATCCAAAAGCTGCCAACGTGGACAAGGTGGCGCTAGAGGAAGTGGCGGGCGTTCGCTCTGCGAGCGGATGATGCAAAGCGTCGAATGCAGTATGCAGCATCGTACACCGCATCGCCATCTTTATGTCCCACCACCGATGGGCTGTCGGTCCAAGATCACGCTGCAATGACACCTGCAGTCACGCCGATGACGGTGGTCGCCTCTTGGCGCGACCAAACCTCGTTGCTATCGCCGCCTCCACTCTTGGACGTGACGTGCTACGCAAGTCGAGTCGACGGTTGACCTCATGTGGTGGCAGACAGGGACGGCGCGGTGCAGAGATACGGGCGGGCGGCCGCAAAAATGCGCGCCACGTCATGACCGTACTCATGTTTTCCTTCCCGACACTGCGAATGCATTGGGTAATTGTATGTCGGGTAGGAATACCGGTAAACGACATGTGATACCGTCCGATAACCAAGAGCGGGGGCACGGCGCAACTTCAAGAACGCGCGTGTTGCATCATCCGCGAGACCCGCACACCACCGCAGCTTGGGACACGACGCGCGCCTTTTTTTTCGGTGGCACTGCACTTTTCTTATTTTCGAAATTGCCCCATGAACCACAAACGGTACCCGGTGCCCGCCGCCATCTTTCCTTGTCCGCCGCTCAGCGCGACCGAGTCGGCCACGTACGTCAAGCTCGGCCACGACACGCTCGACAAATTCCTCGACGCAGTGCTCTCGAATGATGCATCGGTGCGCTGGAGCCCGCTCGGCGAAGTCGACAACGTGCACGTGTACGAAGGCGAGATGCCCGGCCTCAAGCTCGACCGCCGTACGTTGTCTACTGCTGCATGCGATGATCACTCAACTGATGCATAGACACTCTGCCGTACCGTGCGATCGGCCGCGTTCAGGCGACGTTAGGCGAGGTTGCGGGCCTGCACAATTTTGATACACGGGACAAGTGCCTCGACTACATATACGAATACGCCGGCGACATTATGGACATGATCCCGCTCTACACCCTCGCGTCGAGCGACGACGGCTTGCACCGCATCTACCTCAAGTGGGTCGCGTGCGCGACGCCCGTGCCTGTTGTTCGCGACCGCGATTTCGTCTTTCTCGAGGTACACTATTGTCCATGTTTCAAACGACAAGCAACGCATCCGAAATGTAGACGCAAGACACATTTGAACGGGACGGGCGACGCGGCTGGGCGTTTTGCCAGTACTCGGTCGACTTGGCGTGCTGTCCGTCGCTGAAGGAGACGGAAATGAACCTTGTCCGGGGCACACTCAACTACACGGGCGCGGTGTTTCTCGAGACGGACGAGCCCGGTGTCCTCGACGTCATTTACCACGTTGCGACCAATTTCAAGGGCCACATCCCCGTCCTCTTGCGCAAGATCCACATTCGCCACCGCGCCGCGCGCAAGATTCTGAGCATCCAAGACTACGTCCAGCGCCGGCGATACCACAACAGTGGCGCGACCTCGGGCGAGGCGTCGCCCACCGACATGTCGCGCTGCGCCGTGTGCGCCCACAGCAGCACCCGGTTTCAGCGCCTCCACGCCTGCCATGGCTGCCACTTGGTACGGACCTTTCGGCGCTATTGCCCCATATAAACGAACTCTCATATACCATCTCCATGTAGCCCGTGTGCCCTCATTGCAGCCGGAAATGGAGCCGCCGGGGAGCATCCAGTGTCCGCGTCTGCCAGCTGTGCTCGGCCGGCGCGCGCCAAGGACTTATCTCGTCCATGCGCGGCACGTCGTCGACGCGGACCATCTCGTCGTCGTCGTCATCGTCGGTGTCGTCGGGCGTCGGGTCGCCGCGGCTCACGGTTGTCGGGCGCAGCACCGAAATGGACTTGTCGTATTTGAGTCTCTACCGCAACATCCCCGAAGAGGGTGCCGGCGGCGTCTCGCCCATCTCGTCGTCGTGCGTCATGCCTCTGGACGTCGGCGCGTGGGACGACGACGACGACGTTGTCTCGGCCACGATGCGGTCCGAAGCGGATCTCACTACCAGTGACGCCCACGTCGGCTTTCGCGATGTTCTCAGTCGGCTCACGAGCAAGCTCGCACGCGTGCATTAGCGGCTTGTCGCTCTCTTTTGGATATGACGGCGACCATTGGCAGTCGTCGTCGTCTGCATAGTAGTCCTAGTGTATAGTGTATTTATGAGACAGAAACAACTTACTCTTTCGACCTGACCAGCAGAGACCAACACGCTCTCGATAGCATGGTATGATAGAGCAATGCCCAATGTCATTCCTCGAAGCGCCGACAAATCGATCGACCAAGTCGTCGCATCTCACATGACGGCGCCAACCCACGGTGTCGGGACATCCTTTCACGATAGGTCTCGCCACAATACCGGCTGGTCGCGAACGAGGCCGCTTGTCGCTATGCATGCCACGTCTTTGTTGATGATATTCACTAGAGAGCGCGAAAGACGTCGATATCGACGCCACACTGAACCACGACTGCGCCGCTGGTTAGGTTAGGGGTAGGGTAGGACAAGGGTAAGGTGTCGTGGCGGCGCGCGGATCCAATGTGGTGCCTTGAGCCCTTACGATGTTGTACAAGTACCAAATTTAGTCGACTCCAATAAGCGTTCATTTGTGGGCGATGAAGAGGGTCCGGACACCTATGTTGTGGTGCATTTGAGATACCGACAAGGTTCCTTTCGGCGTCTCAAAGTATAACACCACGGGACAGAGAATGACGCAGGCCATAGATAAAAGTGTGCCAATGTACTAGCTCTATGTGTTAACTCGCTTTCGTCGCCGCATGAGTCAAATGGCTTCTCCAGAGGTGGAGTGCTGTCTTGAGGCACCGAAACGACAGCTTGGCGCCTTGAACGACCGGGTGCCATAGATGTAGCGCATCTGGAATGTGCGTGAGCGAGTGATGTATGCCGTTCTTGACGAGTTCGCCAATGACAACAGCCATCTCGTCACTGCTCGTCTCGGGCGACAGCGCTTGCACCACATGAGACATGTCGTCGCGACGGCGCAGATCGCGCAGGTTCGCTGGCAACATGAGCACCAGCATTGCGACAAGCAGATGTAAATGCCGCCGCAGAATCTGAATCGCATCCACGCAGCGGCTTTCGAACGTCAGAAAGGCCGGGTGATCAGGGCCGCCGAGAACGTCGACCACTTGGCGGGTCACCAGTGGTGGCGCCGTGCGTTGCCCGCCATAGTCGTACTGGACACCGCCGAGGAGATGCTCGAGTTGAATGTGCAAGAACCGACCCGTCGTCGTCAGCTAGTCTCCAGTGTGATATATTTCCGAAAAGAGAGTGGGTCGTAGTACCATGAGCGTGTCGATCCGGCGGTCGAGAATGCCGAGCACATGCGTTGCAATGCCGTAGCCAGCCGCCGACCGCGAAAAGAGGTCCGCCGCCTTCTCAAAGCCGACCGAGTCGCGCGGGCCATTCTGACTTTGGATCCAGTCGGAGAAGGCGGTTGTCGCCACATCACCCGAGCCGCCGCCGCCCCATACATGAATGTCCTGGACCGTGCTGGCGTGCTGGACGATCGAGACAAGCCCGACCCGCGCACCTGTCGCGACGACTCTGTACGGAGCAAGTGCAAAGTCGTGGCCGTCGGCGCGCCAGAGCTCGTCCATTAAGCAAAGCAGCTGCCCAATGAGGCTGTGCTGGCGCACGTCCGTGTTGGTGACGAAGACAACAACGATGGGGTCCCCGCCGACGTCGGCATTCTCAAACTCTAGCCAGAACGGCAGTTTGGCCGAGAGAATGAGTTTGCACTTGTCGACACGAAGGCGTCGGACGTCGAGGCGGGCGTCCAGCGGTAGTTGGAACGACGATGGCAGCGTCTTGTTGAGTTGGTGCAAGCGCTGACGAAACACTGGCAGCATCTCGTCCGGTGTCTGGCGAAGCGCTTCGATCTCGAGAGCGATCGTATGCAACGCACCCTTGTCCGAAAAGAGCGTGTCTTGGACGTGGAGGCTGGACCGCATGGCCGGTGCGCACGTCTCGGCATAAATGTTGAGGAGGAGCCCGAAAAAAGGCTTGTACTGCACGTGGCCCGACGACACCTCGGTCTTGATGGCCCAGAAAAAATCGAGTCCAATCTCGCTCGGGTTTTGAAGCGCGCGCGTCATCAAGAGCTTGACCAATGGCGATGCAAGGTAGCTCTCAAACTTGAGCGCCTGCACGAGCTGCGGCAGCAGCCAACGAATGGCCGGGTTAGGTAACGTCGCAAGCTGATCGGCAGCAAACTGCCGGACGTCCTCGTGTGCGAATGGCAGATCGAGAAGCGCAATGTACGACGCCGTGTGGCTCGGTGCGGCCCATAACGGCAGCAAGGTTAGCATCTCGGCCACGTCCGCTGCATTTGACCAGTCGACGCATGCAAGGACGTGTGGAAGGTACTCGAAGGCGTCCATGACGGCGTGGCGCGCCGCCCACAAGAGCCGTTGCTGGCTCGTTGTCAGTACCAAGAGCGGATCGCAGTCCATTCTCGTTCGCAGCTCGTCGAGCGCTGCGTCTTTGTCTTCTTTGGGTGCTGCCGTCGGCAGCGTCGCCGCTTGTGGCATGTCGTTGACAGTCGACATGGCTGCTCCATCGCTGCCCGCGCGCCAATCAAATTCAATCGCGCGCTCGTACTGCCCCAAGGCCATCTACAAGGAACGGTCATCTACAACAGACAGTTTTATCAAGGTGTACGTGGAGAAGGGGTAGGGTTGTGTCGCCAATGGCTGGCAAAGGGCCGTACGTGCACGTGCTCGGGTTGTCGAAGAGCGGTGCATACTGCTCGCCGTGGCGCAGTCGACCGTCGGCGTCGAAAAGCTGGAGGCCGGTTGAGAGGAAGCGGTGTCGGTCTTCTGCACTTGCGCTCTCCTCGTGGACGTTGTAGAGGGTGAGAACGAGCCGGGCCGTGCGTGGCAGCTTGGATATCGGTGTCGTTGTCGTGAACCAGTGCGGCTCGACCCAGATGCCGATGAGCGCCGAGGTGTTTGTACCTGGATGCGGTGGCAAGGCCTTGAGCGTGACGGCGGACGTCTCTCCTACAAGCTCGAGGCAGTCGCCAGCGTCGTAGAGCTCGAGCGTCGCCAGGATCTTCTTGCAGACTAATGGGCGTTGCTCGGTCTCGCGAAGCCCCGACCACAACGACGGCGCTAAATGTGTGGTGTACCGAGGGACTTGCAGCGCACGGTAGATGCACAGCCGCAGTGGCGCGTGGCAGTCCCCACTCCTGGCCACCGTCGTCATCTCGCTCGCGTCGGGAAGAGTGCGTCGTTCGCGGTCAAGGAGCATGTGATCAACACAAGGCCGGGGCGCCGCCTGGATCGTACGTTGGTGCACGAGCGTCACGTGAAGCGTCTCGTTGGTCGCCAGGCAATGGCGTACGTGCTGGAAGCGTCCGAGCACTTGGTGGCGGTCAATGAGGTAGTCGCGGTAGCCCGTGACCTTGAGGACATAGGCCTTCGGGTCGTCCCCGAGCTCTCGCTTCTTGATGTATGCTGCAAAAAGGAGCGCCACGGTCTCGCCCACGGTGTGGCTGGCCGACACGACGACGCGTACTTGGTTGGGCTGCTCGGCAAGCCGTCGGCTGTTGTGGAAGCGCGCGTCGACGACAGCGACGCGCAAGGACGTGACCAGCGCATGTACCCATGTGTTGTAGGTCGCGTCCGTGTCGGCTTGCAGGAGCCACGTCTCGCGGATATCCTGGAGCTGCAGCGAGCGCAGCTGGGGTCCAGGACGCAGCGAGACGACCTGGTCCAGCGCCATGCGCCCTCGCACGTCGCCTTGAACCCAGAGCCGGCGGTGATAGAATACCAACGCGTCAGGTCGCAGCTCAAAGTACCGCCGCTTGAGCCGGGTATGGAGGTGTATCTTGAGGGTGCCTTGGACGCCGGCGGGGGGCTGCGCGGCCGGCGCGTCGACGGAACTCTGGAGAAAAGGCAGCCGACCGACGACTGCAAGCTCGTGCGCACGGGAAGCGCGCCAAGTGTCTGCTTGGAGCCGGTACTGCGGCGTCGTCGCACGAACAGCAAGCACCTCGGGCGACAGCTGCGCGTGCACGTCAGCAAGGATCTCGCTCGCCCACGCGCGGAACGCCAACGTCTCCTTCGAGTGCGCAAGGCCCGGGACGGGCTGCCACGTGGATGCCTCAACCGCGGCCCTGTACGCGCATGGGTTGAGGTCTAAGAGCGTCGGTACGTCGGCCGACGTGGCCATCGACGGGTGCGGCGCGTCGCTTGCCATCGCGCCACCGAATCGGAAAATGAAATCCTACCGGATAGCTTGGCCTCAACCGAAAATACTTATATGTCACAACCCGTGGCCGCAACTCGATTTGGCGATTCCTGCATGGACGAGTGAGTGGCGAGCCATGTGTCAGGCTCCGCTACCAGGGTCTAGTGATTC